AGTAGCGTAGTCAGTTTTCCTTTAGAAGTGATAGTTTTTGATTTATGAACCAAACATAGTGTTTTCAAATGAGACACCCTATATATCATAAAATCATTGGATAGCTCTGCTTTTGCTGATTTCAATGATACAAAATTCGACAGGTTTATCTCTAACACTTTTCGAGCAAAAGATATTTTTAACTGGTTTCTTCATAAAAAACAACGTGTTAAAAAGAGACCTTTCTCATTTTCCTTACAGATGCAAAGTTATTTTCTGACACATTGTTTTTAAGACAAAAGCAGACATGATAGAGATAACACCTATCGAACTTCATATTATTGAAATCAGCAGAAGCAGAGCTATCCAATGAGCTATTCATTAATATACAGAGTGTCTGTAGGAAATCGAAAAAAAATCGATAGGTAGGTAATTTTTTTATTTTGCCCAAATATGATTATTCCGGAAGTTACACAAATATTAAGTTTTGTATACCTATACAGGGTGTCCCATGGTGGATGGCGTATTAGACGTTTATGGAGACTTGAAAAACAGATTAATTTGAAAATTTGGCAACCGGGATATACGACCATAATCTACACTTTAAAAATATTTTTGTTTATGCGGTGTTGCCACTTCTACTCTAAACCAGTGGCAACATCGTTATTTTAAATGGAACACCCTGTATGTGATTGCATATTTCGATTCTACGTAAAATTCTGAGCAGATTTCATGTAATATACCCTATACCTAAGTTCAACTGTTTTGGAAATATTAACAGTTGAAAATTGACTTTTTGCAACTTTGACAGGTTATAAAGCCTGAACGATTAATTTTAGAGAAAAACCGATTTTACATTCCTATCTTAGATTTTCATAAACTATCATTTGACACCAACTGTGAATTTAATCCATGATTAAAAATTCCAATTAAATTTAATCTCCGGTTAAATTCAAAGTTGGTGTCAAATGATAGTTTATGAAAATCTAAGATAGGAATGTAAAATCGGTTTTCCTCTAAAATTAACTGTTTAGGTTTTACAGCTTGTCAAAGTTGCAAAAAGTTAATTTTCAACTGTCAATATTTCCAAAACAGTTGAACTTAGGTATAGGGTATATCACCTGAAATCTGCTCAGCATTATACGTAGAATCCAAATATGTAATCACATATAGGGTGTTCCATATGAAATAGCGATGGTGCCACTGGTTTAGAGTAAAAGCGGCAACGCCGCATAAACAAAAATATTTTTAAGGGAGTGAACTCTGCGCCTACCGGTAGGTCCCGTTTGTTTCAATGATTGTGTGCTACCGTATATGTATAACGTTAAAACTATGGTAGGTCCCCAATTACCACATGATATAACGCCTATCGATAGGTACTGTTTACAAAAAAAATCCTGAGCCTACCGCTAGGTTCATAATAATTTAAGAATCCGTCGCCTACCCTACCTATTCATATATTATTATAATATGTGCATTTTTGATAGGCGATACTTATATTTGAAAAAGGTTTTCCACGTTTTTGGTGGATTTACGATTCCGAAAATCTTCTCTTTGAAGTTTGGCGAACAGAGCGAGCAATCGGAGACTCAAAAATATTTTGAACAAGATGATAAGTAGGTACCTATATTTAAATAGTATATTAAAAACCGAGGTGGAAAGTGTTCTATTTCTAGGAATGAAACTTCCAACCGAGGTTTGCATACTATTTACAACAATGAAAACCATCACAATGTTGACCAAATGCTAAATAATTAATTAAAAAAATTTATTGACAAGTTCTGACTTATTTAAAAAAATGTTTGACATGCAGGACTTGTCTTTACCATTTAAGGAAATCAGGGCTTACTTTCCACCCGGGATCACTTTCCACCCGGGAGGAAAGTAAAATTCAAAAAAGTGTCACTTTCAAACTTTTGAAAAGTCAGAAATGCCAACATTACGTATGTGGTACGTTGTAAATGAATATCTAGTATATTACATACCGAGGTGGGAAGAGTTTCATTACTGTCGAGAGATTAGTTAGTTAACTGAGACGCGAAGCGTCGAAGTTAACTATAATCTCGAGACAGGAATGAAACTTCCTACCGAGGTTTGTATACTATTTTATTTACAAGAATTACAACCCTCATAATTTCGATTAAATACAAAAAAAAATAATAAAAATTTGTTGACAAGTTTTGACTCATTAAAAAAAACGTTTGACATGCAGGACTCGTCTTAAACATTTAAGGAAATGAGAACTTACTTTCCACCCGGGTGGAAAGTGAGCACTTTCCACCCGGGACCACTTTCCACCCGGGAGGAAAGTAAAATTCAAAAAAGTGTCACTTTCAAACTTTTGAAAAGTCAGAAATGCCAACATTACGTATGTGGTACGTTGTAAATGAAAAGGTTTTCCTCGTTTTTGATGCATCTGCGCTCCCAAGGATCCTCTTTTTGAGGTTTGGCGAGCATAGCGAGCAATCAAAGACTCATAAATAAATTCAAGGTGTGTGCAGAAGGATTTTCAATAGGTTACCGTCTAGAATGAAGCAGATTCCAAACATCAACAAGTTTAAAGCTCAAATTAGAAAGCTGTTAGATAGGTACTAATAAAGGTCTATTGCTTAGTGGACGAATTTCATAATGACAATTCTACAAACAAACAAAATTTTACTAACGCATTTATAGCTAGCAAGAGCTGACTGGTAAGATATACGGATTCTAAAGTATTAAAGTAATAAAACACCTTCCCAGTTCCAGTAGGCGCTAGATCAATTGACGAAAAAGGACCTACCAGTATTAGGCGCACAATCGGTGGATGAAAAAGGACCTACTGGTAGGCGTACGATCGTTGGTTAACAAAGGACCTACCGGTAGGCGTAGGTTTCACTCCCTATTTTTAAAGCGTAGATTATGGTAGTTTATCCCAGTTGCCAAATTTTCAAAATGATCCGCTTTTTAGTTCTCCATAAACGTCTAATACGCCATCCACCGTGGGACACCCTGTATAGATATACTGAGCATGTGCGACGTCACTAATTTATATGATAAGTGACGTCATGGGCATATTTCATAGCGTTGTATCTCCGTCAATTTTTGACTAAGAAGAAAAAGAAAAAACACGTGTTGACTTATTTTTTATCGACTAACAAAATCAGCGAGAAAAAAAAATTTAGGCAAGTGCCAAGTACCCACAAAATTGAATAAGTAAGGTTCAGAGTTTTTATACCGTTACAAAATTATATTGGTGCGGAAGGGCTTTTAAGGCCTAGAATACATGATGCACAATACGGCAACACCGTTTAAACTTGCAAAGCTTCAAATTTAGACCTTTTTGTTTGCATGGTATGGTGATTACCTGAAGGTCAACCATTAAGGGTATTGAATGCGCCGTTTAAAATATACGCTGTGTCTAGCCTCCCGGCACCGGTATTCATACGAATCCCGGTTATGGCGTAACTGTCGTGGATCCCGGCTATATAAGATGTTAATAATTATTATGTTCATTGGTATTGGGGCAGATTTATTATGAAGAGTAAAAAAAGTAAACAAAGTCGGGCGCGATAAGCTTTCATTAATGGAAAATAAAATTATGACTTTTTATTATATGTAGGTACAGGATCATTTTGAAAGTTTGTTTAGCATTTGATCTTGTACAGCAACGCCGTTAATGTTCAGTAACATTACACAGGATGCCCCAAAATTAGAGGTTAATATTTTAACTGCGGATTCTACATCTCAAGTTAAGTTAAGAGCAAAAATTCCTATAAACATGGGTCCAAGAGTACCCTATTTCAGAGATGCATGCTGTTAAAAAGGCTATAGTCCTAAATACTGAATGAAAATAAACCATATTCCCTTTTTAAACCACTACTACGAAAAGTGGATTAACGAAGTACTCACCACTCTAATACCAGTTTACCAGTATCACAACAAGAAACAATAATACACAAAAGCTATTCCGGAATTAATCACAGCTTCAAGCAGCAAGAGAAACACGACTTTGAATTTTGAATCCAATAGCCAGGACCCACGATAAATCCCGGCGGTCGTTAATGGAGTCATCGAAAACGCGTCATAACCGGGATTCGTATGAATACCGGTGCCATGAGGCTAGACACAGCGTAAAATATATTGTAACGCACGTCGAACTATACGACTTTCCAACAAGCTAATACTAATAAAGATGCGAGGTTCATCGCAATTATTGCACTGGGCTACTGTTGGGCCGGTTGGCGCTGGATCCTTCATGATAGCGATTTAAAATTTATCGCAAAACAGGCGGAGGAAAGAGCCATAGGGTTTTCTGCGGGTATAACAGAGACAGGCAAAATGACAAGAAGAATTAAGTAAATTTCTACAAAAAAAACTAGAAAATTTTTGGGATTCTGGTTTGTGCTATTGTATTGCTAACACACATAAGATTGGCGCTAATTAAAAAAGACTCCATAAATTGATTAAATTTCTAAAAAAAAAACTAGATAATTTTTGGGATTCTGGTTTGTGCTATTTTATTGCTAACACACAAGATTGGCGCTAATTAATTATAAATTGATTAATTTTTTCGTTTTTTTCCAGTTTGAATTACATTTTTGTAATTTTTCGAGAACTCGTTTCTATTACCGGATTTCTAAAAACATAGGTAGCGCCATTCGTCCCTATATTATAAGTCGAATCCAAAAAAGAAATTTGATATAACTTCAACTGCTAAAAAGTTACGTTGAAATTAAGAACGCAATGCATTCCTCGTTTCATTCATCTCATTCCCACCAGAATAGGGGAGGAAGAATACAATGATGCGTTAGGTGCTTCGCGGAGGAAAAAATATTTTGGCATTGAGGCGCATTCAATCCCCTTAACCATAAGAAGCTTGTGAGCGGGTTTTGTTTTGAATGCTTTTCAGTTCTCGTTTCCGCTGAATCGCGTTATGGGACGCGGGTTTTATGTTTTGCTTCTCTTGTGCTCGCTCTGAAATTCAACATTCAAGAGTCGGCCAGTCAGTAGTCAGTAGTCGAGTCGGCAGTCAGGGAGTCTGGGTCAGTAGATGGTCGATGCGGTGACCCGGTGGACGGTGATTCTTCATCTCATTAACTCTAGTTGTTTTCAGTTCCCAGCAGATACCTACCTAGCAGATTACTTTTTTGTCAAACGAAAGACTACGAAATGAATCCAGAAACTGATGTCTCAAGAATTAATGCAGCAAAACTAAGAATTTTATTACTTTCGATGAGACGTCATGCAGAATTGTATGATGATAAGTCAAAAAATAATAACACGGACGACATTTGGAAAAAAATTGGAAAGGAAGTAGGATGGCCAGGTGAGTTTGAAAGTGTAGGCATAAAGGGTATTTCCCTAAACACATGCGCAATTACCTAAAAAAAGTTTGATAGCAAAATCATGGTCGTTTTTGTCTGGATTTCCGCATTTCTTAATTGTTGTCCTTTAAATTATGGAAAAAATGCGAATTTTGATGCTTAACAAAATGCCGTTTTAAAATTTGAGAAATTCCGAATAGTTCCAAAAATATTCGGCATAAACCGAAATTTTACAAAAACGTTTTTACTTTTTTCTAATCTTATTTGAAGAGATATCCCAAAGTAAATGTCACTTCGTCATTGCCACTTTTTCTCCTCTACAAGATGCCACCATCAAATTTAAAATTAGACGTTTCGTCTTTGGGCCATCACTAGCTTTGTTTTGGTTTCACTCAGAACTAGTTCGCGTATTCTTTTTTTCAGAATCGTAATCGAACTGTATTGACAGTGTTTTGGTTTATCTAGAACTATTTAAGAACAATTCTGCGATTGTTCTAGAACAGTTCTCTCAGTTCTTGGTCTGAAGGAGGAACTGTTTTAGAATTTTGCGATTTGCGGCTTGTTTTGGTTTTTTTGGTGCTGAATCGGTTCAGAACTAGTATTAGAACAGTCCTCTATTATTTTTTGTGCTCAAGCAGTTCTGCGCAATCCGCAAGTCCAGAACCGTTCCAAATTTCTAACCAAAACAAAGCTATTATCAACTTATCATCTTTATTTTTTTAAATACGGACCCTTATTTTTTATTGTAGATTTTATAAGCTTCTGATAGGTATCACAAAACCAATGACGTATTGCACTTGTTCGACTTTTTTTTTATTATTGGCACTTTCCACAATAAATAAGGGCCAGTATTTCAATGTTACCTTAAAATCAAGACTTAAAAAAAATTACCTGAAGTATATACCCTTAACGTTAAGGTAAACTTGAAATGAGTTCATTCTGTGGCTTAAGATTCACCTTGAGAAAGGGAATTTTGATATGGGTACGGTGAAACTTTTATTAAGGATGACTTAATGTTATTTTGTACCTTAAGGAAGGTGACATTGAAATATCGGCCTTAAATGTGTAAGAGAGAGACAGAGAAGAGAATTTTGGTAGGAAATTACTAGAAGGTAAAAAAAAAACTCGAATAAATGGTATCGCATAAGTTTTGGGACATCAGCAGAAGCTCTTAAAATCTGAAACGAAGATTCCAGGGTCGTATAAAAAAAAAATTAGGTTGATGATGGTGGCCTAATGACGAAATTTGGTGGTAGCATCTTACAGAGGAGGAAAAGTGAGAAGTGACAAAATAGGCTCAGAAAAAAATAAAAACGCTTCTGTAAAATTTCGGTATATTCCCAATATTCTCAGAATTTTTAAATTTTTAAAACGGTATCTTGTTAACTATTAAATTACGCAACTTTGCCATAGTTTAACCAACCCTGTATCTCTTATCCAATAAAATCCAATAATACAGCTCGAGTGAAAACCTCCTCTTCTTTACTTTTATAGTTTTCATCTTTGGTAGTAGTGTCAATTTTGCTAGTAGGTTCCTGAATTATTTCTTGCATATCGATATCTACTGGGATTTTTTAATGAAATGTTTGGAATCTTCCGTTTTTAATCTGCATTAACTGCTCCTTCTTCATAAAGTTTTCTCAGTTTAATTTTGTTTTTTAGAATATCATTTACTTGCGTTCTACCAAAATCAAACTTTTCCGCTATCTGTCGAGCACTGATACAAATGAGATTTAACAAATTATTATATTAGTATGTACGTGTAAACTATTTACATAATTCGGTTTTATCTTGCTTCCGTATTGGTACCAGGTACCAGCATTGTATGTGCAAACATTCCCAGAAGGGTCGAGACGACCACAATTAAGGGTAGAAATTCTAGGTACCTAAATTATCCTAATCCTTAAAGTTACGGATTCATGTGACCATGGCCGTTTCAGAAGAGTTTCGGTATTCGAGGGGTCTCTTCGAGGGTCTCTTATTATGAAAAATTCTATAGTCTATTTGTTTGACCGAGACCAGTAAGTATATGTAAAATGCAAAACTGGGGCCATGTGTTTACCTGGGAACAAGCTAAATTTCTCATTTTTCGTAAGAATATATTAAGGTTTTAGCAATTCACTAAGATTAAACTTGACCCACCCGTGTTAGGGTACAAAAAGGGTCTAAGGCTCATTTGCATATTTGTGATTCTATTCAAGAATGGATCTCGGGTTATTAAACAGGTACTAGATACCATCATTGGTGTCGTATAGCAGAGGACTGTTTTATTTAAAAAAAAATATATAGACTTTTCAAACATCTATATTAATAGATTGATCGAAATATTAATAAACAAAACCAAAATGTTTGTATTTAATTTTTATTTTTATGTAAAAAGTAAAGTTGACAATAAAAATAATGATGACAGTTGTTAAATAACTTTCGTCATCTGAATAATCAGTAGAACTATCTTCTACTCCAACTGATATAATAATGGGCTGTATTTCTTCTTCCAACATGTGGTCTAGGTGCCACATATTTTTTTCTTCTTCTTTCACGTGCTCTACACATTTATGTCATTTTTCGGAATCTACATGTTGAATTGCTTTTTGAAAAATCTTCTCAACATCATTTATTTTATATGTGCTATTTTGAGTGGCTACTAAATATTTCAGCCCACACTCACTCATTCTCTCTCTCAAGGGATCTCTTTTTTGAAATAAAATGAATGAACTATTCTTCTGATTGCATGTTTATCCTGTTTTTCAGTTACAATTTTGCTTCTTCCCGTTGTTGTTTTTGGAGAAGTGAAATTTCCATTTTTTGATTCACGGACAATTCTATCTACACTTTTCATACTAACTCCCGTCATATTTGAACACATTTCAGTAATTCTAACAACGGTGGCTTAAGGATGTTGGTGGTCAAGAGCGTTGTACAGGGTTGGCCAATTTGGACACTTTTAATAGGAAACGTCAATTTCTGAGCGAGAGATCTCGATTGGTGCAAACCCCATTTAGATATCTTCAACCGTTTAGCCGCTAGAGGGCGATTCTCGATTTTGAGCAATAATTTTAAACATCCATAACTTTTTTGTTTATGAAAATAATTTATTTTCGTAAAAACTTTTAAAACTTTTTGAAGCATAATTCAGTGACGTTCTCAATTTTTTTCTAGTTGGCCCCAACTTCGAAATATTGACCAAAGTCCGGTTTCTTTCAATGGGACACCCTATGTAATAATAGCTTATTGGAAAGCTCTGATTTTGGTGATTTCAATGATATAAAGTTCGATAGGGTTGTCTCGAACACTTTTTGAGAAAAAAAATATTTTGGTTTTTGTCATAAGAAACAATGTGTTAGAAAGAGAACTTTTTCATTTTCCTTAGAGATATAAAGTCCTTTTCCAACACATTGCTTCTTATGAGAAAAATCGTTTTTTTTTTTTTCGAAAACGGTTAGTGATTAACCTATCGAACTTGATATCATTAAAATCAGAAAAATCATAGCTTTTCAATGAGCTATTAATATAAAGGGTGTCCCATTGACTTTCGTCAATATCTCAAAATCGGTGCCAAATAGAAAAAAAACTGAGAACGTCACTGAGTTCTGCTTAAAAAAGTGCTTCCAGAAAGTTTTCACGGAAATCAATTATTTTCACAAACAAAAAAGTTATGAAGGTTTCACAATATTGCACAAAATCGGGAATCGCCCTCTAGCGGCTAAACGGTTGAAGATATCAAAATGCGGTTTGCACCAATCAAAATTTCATGAAATTTGAGCCTCAGAGTGGGGGGTTCATTTTTTTTGAATCTCGCTCAGAAATTGCCGTTTCCTATTAAAAGTGTCCAAATTGGCCCACCCTGTACACATTTAAAATAATTCCCTTTTCTGTAAGAGTAAAAGGACAATTACTGATTGATATTCTTCTGACAGCAGAAAATTCGGAGGAACTTGCACCAGCCATTTTTCAGTTGATTCTCAAATTCACGATCACACACTTTCTATAACTTTTACACATATACTGGATAATTTTATTTATTTTTCCACTTTTTAAATGATTTGTAGGTACTAAAAATGGGAAAATCTATTTAGTGCCTACCTGTAGTTTAGGTATATGTATAGGTAGGTACCTACACCTACCTATAATCAATTAACCCATATATTATCGGTTCACAATCCTATGTCCACAGGTACAGGTAAAATTTATCACCTTTCAATGCTATTTGATAGGGAAATGTGATAAATTTACCTGTACCTGTGGATATCGGATTGTGAATAGGATATACCTACCCTACCACCTAGCTTTAATAGAATATTAATACTTCAGTCAATACCTGACTAATCATAATAATAGATGTACGGCGATATGCATAATACAGAGCGTCCCAGGGAAAAAAGTCCACCCCGAGACCTTTAAAAAAAGAGATGTATGACACGACCCCTATCCCCTATTCAAATTTGGGAGTTGTTCTCCCCCTAGATAGGGGGTTGAAGCTACGGGGATGAAAAGAACTGAAAAATAGTTCCCTCTCAAATCAAACATCGACGTGTCCGAACGTTTTCCCAGATTCTTATTCCAAATTCAATAAATCGGGATGGACTGTTTTCCCTGGGACACCCTGTATAAGCGTTATAAGAGAGAGTGAGATATATTATTATTATTATTGTTATGTTTAAGTCAAGGCATACATTTTAAAATTTGATATTAACTTATTCGAATAATATATGGGACGGCTATGGCGAGGCGATTATGACATTGATTTCAATTTGCGATGGTCTCGCATTTCCAAATAGACTATAGAAGATTTAAAATCAGATTTTCGAAAATAAATTTTCAAAAATATAGAAGATTTATTTTAACTTCTCAAGCTTTAACTTTCACCAACCACACGACCATATAACTTTTGATCTAACTTGAAATACGTTTTTCGCCGGTAAATGTCTCATATTCATACAAAAATTGGAAAAATTCTGGGCTTTCCCATATAAATGGCAACCTGCCTACTTGCATAGGTGTC